TAGGAGCGTTGTATAAATTAGCTTAAGTAATAAATTTCTAAAAGTAAAATTTAGGACGGAAACTCTTTACTGAATTCATATTTTGTTCATTTGTATATTTAATTAAATCTTAAGAATATATATATATATATATATATATATATATATATATATATATATAACAAAAAAAAAGATGCACCAAGAAGAAGTCTTTCCTTTTGCAGTACCCTGGCCTTATTTTTCAGCAAGATAATGCGAGACTACATACGGCACGTTGTGAGAGGTCTATCCACAATCTTGTCACTAACAGTCCTCTAGGAGAATTTTTGGGCCTTAGAAATTATTTTTATTAAAAAGCTTTTTCCGAAGAAGAGAACGTGATCATGCAAATTAAGACTGATATATATATATATATATATATATATATATATATATATATATATATATATATATATATGTATATATGTATGTATATATAGTATAAGCTTTCAAGAGAGAGGGGGGAGAGATCGGATAGACTTCTAGCTGAATTGTTCTGTATATTGATAAATTGATTAATAAATTAAGTAATTTAGAAATGTCGATCCTTCCTTCCGACCCCAAACCCTTACAACGTGTTGCTATGAATTATCTTACAGCTTGTCAAACTCTTCCTTGCCCAGCCAGATCTCTCTCCAATTGGGTATGTATGGGATATGATGGTAAGTCGACTGCATCTACCAGAGAATGTTGATGGCCTAGACCGACAATTTTAGCAAATTTTGCAAGAAATACCACAGGAGTCCATCAGGGAGCTTTATCGCTCTATCCGATGTCGTGTGGCAGCTTGCATCTAGGATAGAGGTTGGTCAACACCTTATTGAGCTCTTTACTTTGTAACTATGTAACTTTGAAATAAATCCTTCATTTGTTCTGAAATTTTAATCATTTTCTATTCCGTACATAATTTTCTGAAGCTTCAACTTTTGTCTCCATCGGACAAAATCCTTCTTGGTGCATCGTGTTTTTGTTATAGAGTATATATATTTGTGTGTGTGTTTGTGTGTTTAGTAAAAATGTTATTGAAACTATTTAGAACACATAATTATTAACATTAAAATATACTTTGGAATAACTTATAAAATGTAATAATTTACATCAAATCTTATCATGTATTATTTTTTGATAGTTAGATTTTGCAGTGCAAGAAAACTTGTTGAATGTCTGTGACCCCTGATTGATTGTTTATGAATTAGAAACTTAATTGTGCAAAGAAACTTAATTATGCAAATACTTCACCCCTTGAAAATAGATCATGTACTGTATTCAAGCGCATCTTGCATTCTTGCGACGCGCGAGCATTCACATTTCTGTCGAAATTGTTAGAAATATGTATTGTGTTTCTAACGAAACTTTAGTAAAAGTCCGCGTCTGTTCTTAATTTTTTCCTTCAGCAATTTTAAATGTAAAGTTAATCAGAAAGAGTTTGGAATTGTTTCAGAGTACATTTGCTTCTTTTTTGAGCTTTTCTCAAGATGTTGGGAGAAATATTCGTGCACCCTACTTTGATAATCATTGTCTTATGTGAGTATAGGTGTTGGGTTAAAACTTCTTCCGAAAAATTAGTCATTAGCTTTTGACTAAGGAAAAGCAAATATATTCATTTCCTTAATTACCTTATTAATTTTATTGAGATGTAAATTTAAGAAGTTTTAAATTCCTTTTTTTTTTCTTTTTTTGTATTTAATAACTCCAATCTTCTTTTTCACTATGTTACTCACAAAAAAAATTTAAAGTATTTTGTGCAATCGAATCGAAACCCACAAAGTAAAAAAAATATTTTTAACAATAAATCCCATCGTTCTTTTACTATTTATAATTATTTTACATACGTAAGACTTTACACATTAAATGGCAGAAATAGATGTGTTTTTCAAATATATCAAAAATTATTTGGTAGGTTAATGCTGATATTAAGGCAGAGGTAAATATGTTGATATTTTAAGAAAATTTGACTGAACAGATAATATAGATCTTAGAAAACATAATGAGAACACTCTAAAAGAATCTAAAATCTTTGTTAATAAGACGTAGGGATATTTTTTGCATACAAAATGGCTTGATGTGTTTAGGAATGGAATCGTAGGGAACGTATATGATTTTTAATGGAAAAATTAAGCTATTCCTTACTGGAGATATTGGAAAATATCCCATAAAGAGGATAAGTGGAGATTTCGGATGACGACTCTGTTCACGTAGGTAGACCAGATCATGTTTAAAATGTATCAATAATAAACAAAAGATAGTGCTACCAACCATTGTGCGCTGTCGTTGGTTAAAATATGCCAAAATAAATTTTCAGCTTCAATTAGTTAGTTTTGATTTGGTAATGATATGCTGTCAAATCAAAATTCCATTGCTACCGCTTTTTTATCATTTTCAGACAAGTTGTCACCTAAGATTAGGCCTGGATTTATCACTGGAAAACCAGCAACAATAAGAAAGTGGGTTGCTTCTTTTAAATCTGCTCCAAAGAAATTCTATAACTATTTTTTTTTCTTTTTTTGATTCTTCCAAGGGATCAGACGCATGGATATTTTAGAAAAAAGAAAGACTTCCAATGGATAATGCAAATACCACAGTAGGTTTCCCCATTCCCATTTATCATTTCTAAAAGAGCACTTTTTAAGCCTCTTCATTTCCGTTCATTCCAGGGACTGTGACATTCAACAGAGATATGATTTTGCCTACTTACTTACCTGCACCTCTTTGGCTAAAATGCCCAAATACCCCTTCGTAGCTGATGTTCTGAAGTGGCTTTAAGCTCTGCAGGAAACCATGAGATTGATGCCGAAATCATGATAGATCCACGTTCATAATACACAATGTGATACAGTCATTCGGTTGTTACTGTTGTGTTGTCATTGTTTGTACATCTACGAGTATGCATGAGAACTATGTTTTGGATTGGATTGACCCTATTATTTTTTCATACCATCAACCAGGATTTATGATCATGATACCCAGACAACGCTTATCATTACCATTTGCATGACATTAATATTTTATCGTATATTTGAGCGTTTGGATGTGATCATCTTCTTTTTTAATACTCCAATCTACTTCGACATTCTAAAATTTCTTAAGACTGTTTTTGTGTTTGTTTTCAGCAGTTCTTGGAGATTCCTTGTACGCAGAATCCTGTTTGTATTTTTGTTTGTACTGTTTCTTTGTACGCATTATCCTGTATGTGCTAATCCTTGTAAGCATTATTCTTGAATGTGTGTACTATTATTTTGTATACAGTATCATGTTTGTATTATTCTTTTATACTGTGTGTATTTTTTAATATCGTATCTCATTAGTATATATGAATAAATTCGCATTTTAATCCAATTATAGTATATTTCAAAAATATCCATATTATTAGTGGTTGCGGTTACAGATGACCCAATTAGACAAGATCCTAAAATCCTAAATCCCCTCCCCGAAGAAAAGAAATTATCTAATATGTAGTTCCCCATAAATGATTCTATATAAATTTATAAAATAGAAAGAAAAAAAATGTCATTAAAATGTATCGTACTTTTAAAGATTTATGGTATAACGATTTTTTTTTTTGTTGCTCAGTTCATGTTTATCCTTATTATTGAAGAATGTATTTGATGAAAAAGAAGCAGTAAAATAGGATACAGAAAATATTACAATTTATTGATTTCTTATTTTGATGAAATATAACTATTTTATTTTGCTTCAAATTCGCATTTTAACACTCATTTAATATTTCCTTAACAAAAACTGAAAGGAAAAGAATATCCCCAGAATTCAATTTCAAATAAATTAAGGTTTCAGGCATTTTAGGAGGAATCAATATCTAAATACATTGAGACGGTGGAAAGTCAAATTGAATTTGCTTTTTTTATATAATTTAATTTGTAGAAATGTACATTCCTCGTTGTTTTATTCGGTGTTTTCGTATTATTCAATTCCGCGAAAGCGTTTTCGGAAAATGTAAGGGAAAGGAAACTGACATTTTGATTAATGCAACTAAAATAGTAGCGATATCAATTTAATATGTTATAAGTTATAGAAAACATACTTTTTTTTTAAAAAAAATATATTAAAATACTTTAGAAGGAAAGAAAAATATTTTTTATTTAAATTGGCTAAAAATTTAAATTTATTAAAGAGTCGTAAGATTTAGTCGCTCATTTTTTGTTATTTTTAAAACAGTTTTCGAAAATAATTGTATTTAGTTCGAATTGACATGGAGTGACTAATAAATAAAAAATAATTAAAATGATACCTTGTCACTCCAAACTTATGAAATAAGAAAGAAAAATTTGGGATTTTATGAGCATTTATTAAATTCTTTGCAATGATGTGAGGAAAGTGAAAACAATTTCCTGTTGTTAAACTTTTTTTTTTCTGTTCTGATTAAAAACTAGGGCCGCGGTAGCCTATTGATCAAAGTCGTGGACTAGCGGCCGGCGGTTTTCGTTCAGTCGCGGGTTCGACCCTTTTTAAGACCCGCAGTGTAGCCGGGGCTGATGCACGTTAAATCTGTTCGGGGCCCAAAGTCCTCCCGTTGGTGTGGTGTGGATATTAGAAGAGGGGGTGCCGGCTCAGGTGTCGTCCTCATCACTTGACCGTGGTTCAAAATTACGAGATCCGTCGCCAATAGCTCTCGTGTTGCTTCTAGTGCGACGTTAATAAAAACAAAACTGATTAAAAACTACTTGTCATTGTAAAGTATTAATTTATTATTTCTTGATATGTTGAACTCTAACAATTAGTTATAACGTTTAAACTCTTTGGTTTAAAATAAGGCTTCAAGACTTTATTTATAATCTATGAATGCGAATGTTTATTATCGCACTGAGAAGTAACACGAAGGATATAGACGAAAGACACCGTTATTTTGAATCTCAGTAAAAATAACGAGGACAGCACCTGCATTGGTAACTTCCTTTCTAAACTTCCCCATTACGTCAATAGAAGGACTGGATGTCTAGACCAAAATTAACGTTTACCATCTCCTCTACAAAGTGGGTCAGGATTCGAACCCACAACACAACAAAAATAACACCGACTTCGAGACTTCGACCATGACCACTAGGTTACCATTACCATACAGTAATCTATGAAATAAAATGTCTAGTACAAGTGCATTTATTGGTTTTGGGATCAATGCATATTCTTCACTTATATTTTTTAAATCATTTTCTAAAAAAATAAGGCTTTACTTAGATATTAATAGGAATATTAGGGTTTAAATTTATAATCTTTAAGAGATAATACCATGTAAATTGTTACGAATTAATCTTGATTATTCAAAATGAAATATTGTGATCTTTGTTTGAAGTATAATTGGTGTTAAATAAAAAGGGCAGCAACTATTTTGTATTATCAATGATATTTAGTTTTAAATAAATTATAAAAATAATAAGTTTGCAGGTGTGTGACTCTTTTTGTTATTAAATAAAAATATAGCTTTAAAACAGAATAACTATCACATGTAAAATTTGAATAGTGTAAAGAGCATTTTGAACACAAGAAATTTTATTTCGATAAAGATGAACGTAGAATAACAGCGAATAGTCGTTAAAAGTTTTAAATCTCTTCCAATGAAAACAATACAAAATTGTGAACAATCATCTGATTTTAACAATTTTTGCTTTTTTGGATAGATAACTGTTTGTTGTTATTAACATCGTACTAGGAGCAATTTGGGATATTGGCAACGGACCTTGTAATTTTGAACTTCGGTCAAGTGACGAGGACGACACCTGAGCTGACACTTCCCTCTCCTAACGTCCACACCACGGAAACGGGAGGAATTTGGCCCTAACAGATTAAACATGAATCAGCCCCTGCTACACGGCGGGTCTTTAGTGGCATCAAAGCTTGAACCTACAACTCGACGAGTCCAGTGCCATATCCACTAAGCTATTACGGCCGCATAGATAACTGTTCATACTTTTTTTTACAAACATAAACAATTTTGAGCCTTGTGTCTCCTTAAAATAACTAAATACTGCAGAGAGAAAATTAGTCGGTAAAATATTTAAAGTAATAGAGACTTTAAATACCACATATAGTTGATTGTGTCTCATTAACTTTGGCATTAAACACTAATAGCGTAGAGGTTATACTTGTAATGTATGTCGAAGTCTTCAAATTCACCACAGGCAACATTAGAGTTGAGTAAGACATTTATTCGGATAGTACCATTAATAATTTTTTTGTTAGTCTGTGGAAATTATTGTTGTTATAGAAACTAAATAAAATTCAAAATGGAAATTGAAATGGGATTACTAATTCGGGTATCTTGTTCGTCATCTAATTGTATTTCAAAGACACGAGGCTTCTTACCAAAATTTCTTCTCGTGGATCAGTGTGATTTTAACTAAACGAAACAAAATATTTTATTTATATGTAAATTATTTTAATTTACATAAATTTTGCATGAATATTTTATAACTGTTAATCACACACACACACACACACACACACACACACACACACCATCAATATTAAGGAATTAAATAATTCGAGATAAAAATTGACTTTTTTATATGGTAAAGTTTTAAAATTTTTTTTTTGCCAAACGTGGTAACTTTGGTCAGTTTCGCGGACTTAACGTTCAGCCAAAAAAAACAAAAAAATCACCTAGTTTGGCCATTTTTTTAAATCGCATCAAGTGGTTAGGCTAAACTGCATTATTAAAAAATTTTGAAATATTTGTTAAAACTTGTCGCAAATGTCTCAATATTCCATTGTTAGGCGAGTAAGAACGATTCCCAAGGTTTCAGAGCTCTAGCTTGATGGGAAGTAGGTTAAATTAACCATCGAAAATTTGATAACACACTGATACACACACAGACATACACCAAGTGAAATACATAAAAACGTTGTAAAAAAAGGCTGGAAATCTCAGTGAAGTACTGTTGCGATAAAAATATGTAAAAGGAAATCAAACGTAAATGACATCTACAGAAATAAAAAAAAAAAGAAAACCAATTGTTAATAAAAAAATTTTCTCCATATAATTTAAAAGAATTTCTGCGGCCGTGGTAGCTGAGTGGTTATTATCGCTAGCTCATGACCAACGTTGTTCTCTTGGTTTCGAGTCTTACTGCCCTTAAAGACTCAATGTGTAGTGAAGCTGTTGTAGGGTAGGGTATAAAATTTATGTAGAGTTTTACATGTTCTTAAAATTTTGTTAATAGTAATGCTTGGTTTATTTATATGCAATTTGTTAAAGTTTTTCTTATATGAATAGATTTTTAATTTCTTTCTACACATTTTTTTTTCCAGTATTTAAAGAGTTTTAACATTGTTTCTGATGACGCGTCTTTGGCAATTTCTTATTGCATTGTTTTAGAGGACACTTTCTGATTAATTTTTGGTTTAATTAATATTTCTCTTTCTTAAATTTCTAGATGGTTTTATAATATTTTAGGTGCTCAGTTAAGTGTAACTTGGTTGTTTGCAATTAAATTGAAGATGATTAATGTCTTTCCCGTTCCTTTTTTTTCTATGATTGATTTTAAAAATTTGCTGAATTTTTGGATTTGTTACTATATTTATTTTAAAGTAATTCAATGAAATGTGATAGTTTGATCAGTAATTACCGGTATAAGCCCACAATAATTCCATTCGAAAGTATGAAACAGTATTAATTACGTTATTTTCACTAATCTAACTTTCCGCTTTTCTTTCATTTGACTTTTTTTAAAAACATTTCTGGTTCTTTAATATATATATATATATATATATATATATATATATATATATATATATATATATATATATATATATTGATTTTTGATTTTTAAATTTTAGGTAGTTCTGATTATTATAAATTTTTTTTATCGCATTTGCATAGCTATTGATTAGTTTCTTCATAATTTTTTTAAATATTTAGCTCTTTAAATCTGTCAATTTATTAATAGTATAGATTTGTGTTGGAATTTGTGGTTGTTTTTTTTGTTTATATATATATATATATATATATATATATATATATATGTATGTATTTTAACTGGTAAAATTTTTGGAATAATATATTCATTAAATGTTAACGAATAGAAAAATAAATTAACATAGAAAAGCAGAATATTAATTTATTATAGAACTGATATATTATATAAAGTTAAGAGTTTTTCGTAGGAAAATTAAAAAAACACTATTTCTAGAATACATGAACAAACGATTTTATCTATTATAATTTAAAATGTAAAACCGTTGTTTATAATTGATTTGATTACCCAATCAGACACACTTTAAAATAAGGCTTCAGTAGATATAGTTTTAAAGAGGACCAACTGAGCTCTATTTCTTGCTATAACTCCAACAGGGTTGAAAAGTGGCGTCCATGGGCATACAAATCTTTGGCTATTGGTTCTTAAATTTTCTCAACTAGGTTAAGATTTGGGGTAATAATTGGTCGTTGCATAATGGTAATTATTGTTCTGTATAAATTAAGTTTTAATTGGTGCAGAGATGTAGATGGAAGCGTTATCCAGTTTTCACCTTTCAGATCTTTACCAAATGGAACCAAAGGATTCTGAGGTACATTTTGATAATCTTCTGAATATTGATGATTTTACCGGAAAGATATATCTGTTGTGCCGGAATGCACCACAAACCATGACATAACTACGCCCTCGTTGTCGACTAAAGTAAGAGCTAGGATTCTCGTCGGAAGCAGTACCAATATTATAAAGATTACCATCTTGGTCACCTATATTGAATTTTCTCATCGCTGAAGAAAACTGTTAAAAATTCTTCCAATGAACGTGTTTCTTAGCCCAAAGTAGTCATGCTTCTCTAAGATGTGCTTTGAGCTTTGGTGTGCAACACATATTAGGATAGACTTGAAATTTCCTTGCTCTAAAACGACGATAAAATGTAGATCTGGATATTGAGTTGGCTACGTTATTGGTAATTTCACTGAAAGATGTTTTTTTTTACAGGAAACAGTTCGCAGAAGCTGTCTATCTTGACTTCGAAATATTTTCTTGTAAACATGCTTGCTCCCTGAACGTAGATGAGTTAAAATATTTTGTATAACAGAAATGCTGCTTTAAGTGTGAGTAGAAATTTCCGAAACCTTCATTTTCCCTCCCTTTGAATGCCAATTTGTGAAACAAAACAAAAGTCTAATGTACAGAAAAATAAAAGAATTTAATAGAAATAATAAAAACGCAAAATATTTTTTTCTCAGAAAATTGGATATTTATGCCGCGATAAAAAGTTTTCCTTAAAATATATTGAAATTTTTTTTTGGATTAAAATTTTAAGGTTGAATATTAAAAACCTAATAATCAAATTAATATCAAAATAATGAATGATATCATTACAAGAAAAGAAGGAATGGTCTTAAATCTCAAAAGTTAAAAAGATTCTTAAAATTCATTAATAAAAAGATTTTAATAAAAATAATAACCCATTGTTTCAAAAGAACAGTCGGCACACACACACACACACACACAACTGCCACATGTACACATTGCCAAAATGTGACAACATAATAATTCCTAAAAGATAACAATATACTAAAATATATGTATCGCATTAAGTCTAATATTTATTCTAGTTTCAACAACGGGCATTTTTATTGTTTTTCACCAAAAATTTACCTATTTAAACTTGCAGTTAATTTTAGTGTTTATCATCAAACTATGAGATAATATTTCTATAACTCATGCATTTAATGAACCTAGATTACAATGCATAAATTTTCCCAAAAGTGACAAATCTAAGAATAGGAAAGCTCAAAAGAAATAAAATGTTCATGTTGCAATGTTTTTAATATATAGAAATTTGTAATGCTTCCATTTCACTTTTACTTCACATTTCAGACACAGGTCTTTCCAATTATACATAACTAAAATTAAAATAATATTTTGAGAGCGTGTAATTTTGGATAAGAATAAGGATGAGATGTTTTGGATAAAAGAATCAATATCAACCCTGTTGTGGCATAAATCTGGAGCATTTTGTTGAAAATTTTTTAATATAAAGAATAATTTAGTGTCAATGATCGTTGATATTGTTATTAAATGATTCATGCGAAACAGAATCCCAATTTTACAATGAACAATTAAATGCATAAAATTGAC